TAGCCACTGAGCCATCACGTCCCTTATTATCACCACTAGCCTGCTACTTTTGCACAGTTTACTCAACTTTGTTTGCAGAACAAACCAGAAATCATGTGGTGTGAACCATATTGCAGAATATGCAATAGTTTGGCACTATATAAATGCCAGTCAATAAATAAATATGACACGTTTATATTGTAGTAGTGTTTGTCTCAAAAGTGCTTTTTGAAAAGGCAACCCTCAGAGCTAAAGAAGCTTCTTGGATGAGAAGAGAAACATCTTCAAGGGAAAAAAAAACACAAAGTCCAGTTGGCTTTTGAAAAAGCACTTTTTGGGACAAGCGTGACCTGGATGACTGAGAATCTCCATAGACAATTAGACATACTAGTGTTTGATTTAGCCTTTTCCACTTGTGTGTGCAAGAATGATGTGTTAGCCGAGAGTGCCATCTGGTGGAATCCTAGAGACTGACAGAGCACATGGAAGGGCCATGTTCAAACTAGCTCCATAAAATTGTGGTTTTTCCTTCATTATTGCTCAGTGCGTTGTTACGCAAAAATAGTGCCTTATCTGTAAATGAAGTGAAATGCTTGAAACTGGGAATAAATGAAGATTCCTGCCAATATTTTGCAGACTATGTTCATCTGAGTTAGCTCCCCACCATTTTAGCTTTGCTAATGTCCTTGGTGAAGTTTCTTTTCAGAGGCCTCTACAATGAGAAAGGGATATATCATATGGCAAATCTTTCTGCCAAAGAGGGGCAATTTGCCTTTTAAATATTTCATCTGGGTTTTCGGGGGCACCATTGCTTGAATTGAAAGTTCTGCTCAAATTAATGGAACTTTTAAAATTTGTTTTAGCTCTGGTCAATGTGGACATTTTGTGAAGCTGTCTCAGGAGTGGGTTGCTGGGGGTTCGCAGAGGTTCAGGAGAACCTCTAGTTAAGATTCTGTGCAGTTCGGAGAACCCCCAAATCCCACTCAGCTGGCCCCTTTTAGAGGAAATATTCTGCCCTTTTAATGTTTCCTATGTAGGAAGTTAGCACCCACCCCTTTCCTAGAAGAATGAAATATTTTAGGAAATATTAAAAAGGCAGAATATTATGTTTCCCTGGATGAGAAATGGAGAAGCATATTTTAAAGACGAAGCAGCTCCCACCTTCTTGCCCCCCCCCTTTGTCAATGGGCCAGAGGCAGAAACTCAATTCCCTCCCATCTTTGTCCATGGACCATCATCTGCAACACAATAGCATCTAGCAACAGAAACTCACCACATGGCACCTGGGAAGATTACATCAGCCAGGAAGGCCAGCTAAGACCCCCACCCTCTGGGAGTCTGACAACCAATCAGGATACTCTTTCGGGGCCCCAGGAAGTTCAAAGCCAGAGAGGGCATAAAACCCAGGGACTCGCTGCATCTTGGCCCTTTTTCTGTTCAGGAACTCAAACCATGTGGTCCTGTCCACCATTAAACCATCTTTCCAAGCAGTCTCCATGTTTCCAGTGTCGTTTTCCCCACTTGGAGCTGAACCCAGAAGGATATTTCTTCTTACATCTAAAATATCTCATTTTCCTAGGAGAGAGGTGGATGCTAACTTTCTACACACTCAAAAGGAAGTCTTAATTCAATCCAGTTTATTTCCTGAAAAACATTCAGTTGAGTTTAATCTTACATTGGCAGGGAGAGACTGAGGTGCATTTGAGCAGATTGGTTTTGACATAGTACCATCCTGTATGTTCTTTTTCAGTTTGATGGCGTCAATGAGGTTTATTCCCAAGACTGCAATCTTCTTCAAGCAGAATTAAGCAACCTAAACTCAATTGTTCTACCTGTGACTAAAACAAGCTTCAATCCAGATTCAGTGATGCTCATTGCATTACTTAATTGCTTTATTTTTGACATTTTAAAACCTACATGTGCTTATTTTGGAGAATTTTACACCTCATATTATCATATTGTTGGAAGTTAAAACCCACCCCTTTCCTAGAAAAATGAAATATTTTAGGATATACTAAAAAGGCAAAATATTTTCCCTAAAAGAGAAGTAGAAACTCAGAGAAGCAGAAACTCAGCCCCCCACCTTTGTTAATGGGCCATTAAGGCCTGGTCCAGTCTATTCTACATAACAAAGATCTACTCCTTCAGGCAGAGCCATTTAATTGCCCTTCATTGCACCACCCACCAAGTTTCAACCAAACTTGGCACACAGACAACCTAAAAGGCTAGCTATGACCTCTGGCAGCAACCAATCAGGATACTCTTCCTGCGCCCCAGGAAGTTCAAAGCCAGAGAGGGTATAATACCCAGGGACTCTCAGAATCTCCACCCTTTTTCCCCCTTCACCCAACATCTTCAAGTCATGTGATCCATTAAAACCATCTTTCCAAACAGCCACCATGTTTCCAGTGTCTTTTTCCCCACTTGGAACTGAAACCTAGGGTTTTTCCCAATGAGTCTTCTCTTCTCATTTGGTAGCCAAAGTATTTGAGCTTCAGCTTCAGTGTCTGTCCTTCCAAAGAGCAAGAATAATAGAATTGAGGTCTTCTAGTCCAACTCCTGCTCAAGCAGATTTCCTTTAGGATTTACAAGTAAGACCAACATTAGAATGTTATACAGTAATGTTTTCTAAGAGGAATTTATTCTCCATCACACCTGACTCCTTGCCTTCTAACAAGAGCAAATTTCTTACCAGCAGATTGATTGCTCCCTCTTATTTTTCAGTGGCCCTGATTTGCATCCATTGGCATCAGTGTTATCTTCCATTCAGAGCACCATTAGAAAGAGTTGTTTGAGATCAAGTTATATTTGATTAGTAGTCCACCTTGTTCATCATTCTGTTTCCAAGGAACATGCAAGCCATTGCCTACATCACAAAGTCAAGATCAGATCCTTCCCAAGACCATTCTAGATTTAATTTGGGAGAGACCATTCCTCGAAAGTCTTTTTTTCCCCAATGACATCATCTAGTTTCCATGAAGGAGCTACCTCAAAACACCAAAGCACTTTCAAGTATCTTCTTCCTAAAGTAGATAATTGAAGGACCTCCTAGTTTGCCTCCCCCATGACTTTCATCTTTAAGACAGGACACCTGTCCAGTGACCAAGCTATAGTAGCTGTTACTATACGAGTCTACTGCCAATTATGTGAAGCCGCTGGGTGAGATCATCCGTGGTTTTGGGGTGAAGTGCCATCTGTACGCTGATGATACTCAGCTGTACATCTCCACCCCAGACCATCCCAATGATGCCCTTGATGTGATGTCTCGCTGCCTGGAGGCCGTGCGGGTCTGGATGGGGAGGAACAGGCTCAGACTCAACCCCTCCAAGACCGAGTGGCTGTGGCTTCCGGCGCCCCGATATAGTCAGCAGGTGTCATCGCTGACTATTGGGGTGAATCTTTGCCCCCCACGGAGAGGGCTCGCAATCTGGGTGTCCTCCTGGACGCGCGGCTGTCTTTAGAAGAGCATATGACGGCCGTGGCCAGGGGGGCCTTTTATCAGGTTCGCCTGATTCGCCAGTTGCAGCCCTTTCTGGATTGGGACGCCCTGCGCACGGTCACTCATGCCCTTGTTACTTCCCAGTTGGACTATTGTAATACTCTCTACATGGGGCTCCCCTTGAAGAGCACTCGGAGGCTCCAACTGGTCCAGAATGCGGCCGTGCGGGTGTTATGGGCGCAACTCGTTGTGCCCATGTGACACCCCTCCTGCGCGAGCTGCACTGGCTCCCAGTGGTCTTCCGGGTGCGATTCAAGGTGTTGGTTACCACCTTTAAAGCGCTCCATGGCATAGGACCCGGGTACCTCCGAGACCGTCTTCTGCCACCAATAGCCTCCCACCGACCAGTTCGCTCCCACAGAGAGGGTCTCCTCCGGGTGCCATCGGCCAAGTTATGTCGGCTGGCGACACCCAGGGGGAGGGCCTTCTCTGTGGGAGCTCCTGCCCTCTGGAATGAACTGCCCCCGGAAATACGTAAGATCTCCGACCTCCGGGTGTTTCGCTGCGCACTGAAGACCCTGTTGTTCCGCCAGGCCGGACTATCAACATAATAGTTTTAAATTGGGGTATTTAAATTTTTTGGGGTTTTAAATCTGAGCCAATTTATTTAATTATTTTAAATTTTAATTGCTGTTTTGTCTGTGTTTTTAAATAGGCTGTACACCGCCCTGAGTCCTTCGGGAGAAGGGCAGTATAGAAATAAAATTATTATATTATATTATTATTAATTGCAAGAGATAATCTGCATTTTTATGCCTGATAAAACTGCTGGTTGCGCATGGAAGACTTAAGAACCAGATGCTCCCCATCCCGACTAGTAATATACAGATGTGAGTATAGGTCTAGGACCATCATTTTCTGATTTTTTAATTTTTTAGAAAAGAAAATTGATATGCCACCCAACTCACGCAAGGTAACTCCAGGGATAAATACAAAACCTAATAAACCCGACTCCCAAGTGACAATAATCAAACTGAATGGACTCCATATCACCCTGAGTATCTAGGTCTTCTGGCAAAACCATGTCTTCAGGGTCTATCAAGAGTATCAAGGTGGGAGGCCATCTTATTTCTGCAGGGATGAGGTTCCACATGGAGCAAGCTACCAAGAAGGCGGCCTTTCTTCTTGCTACTAGATGGCCTCTGCCTCCCCACTCTGATGGATCAGTTAGATGTACCTGGGTAAAGAAGGTCCTTCAAGTAACTGGCCTCAGGCCATGTAGGGATTTAAAGGTGATAACCAGCATCTTGAATTGGACCTGAAAGCAAATCAGCTATCAATACAGCTCCAACAAGAGAGGAGACACATGTGCAAATCTAGACTTGCACAAAACCATGTGGGCTGCCACATTTTGAACCAATTGAAGCTTCCAAGAGACTCCATGTTTTATATGTTGTTAACTTAAGTATTTCTCCAATATGAGTCCCATCATGGAATTTGTGCCCCGGTGTGCTGAATATACCAAGCTTTAATTTCAACTGCATCGTGTGCTCCGAGATCAATAAAAGCGCCAATCTTTTTTTTAAATATATATATTTATTTATTGTGGATATTGAAATACAGGATGATCGCAAGGTAAAAGATGCAGGGATTGAAGAGAGATATGGCAAAGTATTGTCAGAGAATTGGAAGACCCTTCATTGACAATTATGTACAACAAAGCAATTCAAGCGAGAAAAACGTTGCTTGGAAAGGGGAAAAGCTGTTGGAGAAGTGTAGCCATTGTTAGGAGAAACAAGTAAATAGGTTCCTCTACACTGAAGGGGGGAAAAAATCTTGTTTTAACAGAAAAGATAATTATTTAGTTATCATGTACAATAAAATGCTTATGAAACAATAGTCTCTTAAAGACATTATTCTATGTTTTCAGCGCTGGATGGCAGTCATTTCAACTTGGAGTGCTTTCCTTTTTATCCAGTACTTGCAACAGGAGCTCCACCATCTGAAAGAAGAGGGAAAGGAAAAATAATAATTGTTGGAGCACCTTCGTGTCTAAAATAGCTTGTGCTTCATTCATATTTCATTACAATTGATATTGATATTGATTGCTTCCTAGTATGATTTGATTGCTTATTTGTACCCTGTGACTATCATTAAGTGTTGTACCTTATGATCCTTGGCGAATGTATCTTGTCTTTTTATGTACACTGAGAGTTTATGCACCAAAGACAAATTCCTCATGTGTCCAATCACACCTGGCCAATAAAGAATTCAATTCAATTCAATTCAATTCTACTCTACTCTACTCTACTCTACTCTGATATTTGCAACAGGACTTTTTCTACATGCTATTTCACACTCTTGAATGTGTAAACGCGGATGACAAAGAGTCCTCAACCACAAAAGGAGTAGACTCTGAAGACCACATTTATGTTCATCAGATGATCAAGTAAACAAGGTGAGTCAGGATGTTATCCCCGGCCTTTGGAGCGGAACTGAGCGATGAAGCCTTGAGCAACATCTAACAATGGAAAGCATCTTCTTTACATCCCCAGCAGCAAGCTAGTTGAGGAGGCTTAGGACGTGCACAACACTGTCCACCAGGCAGACAAGCACTGGACACTCCTACTCTTGTCCCCAGATTCTACTGCCTAATTCTGTTGACAGGGAACGGATTGCCAGTGAGCAAATTTACTAGGATTTATGGGTTTCTGAAATCAAGAATGAGCGATCTTCTTGAGGTTTCACTGGTAGCAGAGTTATGAACAACTCTTTCCCCACCTAATACACATTATACCAGGATGTTAAATTTTTGTTTTACCGAACAAAGAAAAATAAAGGGAGACTAATATAGATCGATTTCAAGCTATTTAGCTCTCATCAGCTAGCCATTTGAATCCCATAAGGGTAAGGCTAGCGGATGAGAGCTAAATAGCTTGAAATAGATCTGTACTAAAGGTAAAGGTTCCCCTTGCACATATGTGCTAGCTGTTCCCGACTCTAAGGGGCAGTGCTCATCTCCGTTTCAAAGCCGAAGAGCCAGCGCTGTCCGAAGACATCTCCATGGTCCTGTGGCCGGCATGACTAAACGCCAAAGGGGCACAGAACGCTGTTACCTTCCCACCAAAGGTGGTCCCTATTTTTCTACTTGCATTTTTTTACGTACTTTCGGACTGCTAGGTTGGCAGAAGCAGGGACAAATAAGGGGAGCTCACCCACCTTACGCGGCACTAGGGATTCGAACCGCTGAACTGCCGACCTTTTGATCAACAAGCTCAGCGTCTTAACTGCTGAGCCACCATGTCACACTATACCAGGATGTTTTTTTTGGGAAAAAATCATTTTTTATTTTTAAACAAACATACATAAAAACATAAAACCATCTTCAATTACACACAGTGTGTCGGGATGTTACCGGGATGTTAAATGTATGTTTTACCGAAGAAAGAAAAATAAAGGGAGACTAGTAGATCTTAAAATAGATCTATTTTAAGCTATTTAGCTCTCATCAGCTAGCCATTCGTATCCCATAAGGGTATGGCTAGCTGATGAGACCTAAATAGCTTGAAATAGATCTATACTAGTCTCCCTTTATTTTTCTTTGTCGCTAAAACATAAATTTAACACAAAAATAGTTTGTCGCAAAAGCGACTGCCTGCAAAGGCCCCTGGGTTAGGGCTGAAAGGCAAAAACAGAAGCAGTATGCTCCGTCCCATAATTGGGTAGACCAGATTGCCCTAATAGACCGGTCCCACCGGAGAGAAAACACTACACCAGGATGTGCAGGATGTTTAAAGAAACCACAACTCTCCCCTTTCCCAGTGATGTGTTTGAGAGTTGCTGGTTTCCTATCCCAGCAATGAATGCTGGTCAGGTGTTCCACTTCCTTGGAAAATCTGTTAGAACAATTAATCAGTGAACAACTTGCCTGCAGAAGTTGTGAATGCTGCTCCAATTCTGGAAATTTTTAAGAAGAGATTGGATAACCATTTGTCTGAAATGGTATAGGGTTTCCTGCCTGAGCAGGGGGTTGGACTAGAAGACCTCCAAGGTCCCTTCCAACTCTATTCTTTCCTATTCTATTCTATTCTATTCTATTCTATTCTATTCTATTCTATTCTCTCAAATGTAGACAAAAGGAGGAAGATAAGTCGCTCCCTTCCAGCTGATGTATTACTCTCATTAGCAAAAAATATCATCTCTAATTCCTCACTATCCTTCCCATGTTCTGATCATGGATTGCCTTTGGTGTGGAACAAACTAAGAAATAAGTTAATAACATTGAGAAGTATAGGTCAATAAATTAGAAGGAGACTGAGATCACCTTTTCACGCTAACCAATTTTATTAAAAAGCTCACAAAAAGCCTGTGCCCTTCAACAAAATCTTTTAATTTGAAAAAAAGTGTTCCCTGCCTCCTTCTGATTTTCGGATAGGAAAGACTAACACAGATTCCCGCAAAGTGTCATATTTATTTATTTATGTATCTCTATACATCCCATCACCACAGATCACTTTGATTTGAAAGCAATCACTTTGACTGAAAACAATTGGCTTATATATAAAAATATAGCCCTGGTTTTTCAATCCATTCCTCTAGCATTTACCCTAAATGACTTCCTAGAATTCATATTATTTCATAATATAAGAAAGATCCTCAGGACAGTTAAGAAAATATAAGACCTCATCAGAGGTTCATTATGAAGCCTGAGAAAAGCATTTTTCATGCATAGGAACTTCCAATGAATGTCAAAGGAATCCTAGAGCAAAGTCAGAAAAAGGAAGGAAGGAAGGAAGGAAGGAAGGAAGGAAGGAAGGAAGGAAGGAAAAGTATAAATGTTTGTGGGTGGGGAATACACAGTTCATACAAATGAACAAGGCTTGCCTTAAAATGAATGTTTGCCCCCTTGCCAAATCTCATTTGTAGAACCTAAGAGAAGTTCCTTAAGATTTATGACATGTCTCTTGCAGAAGGCTGGTCTAACTCTTTTCTAACAAGGCATCTACATCAGAGGTTATTGACAGAAAAGTGGTGATAACCTCTGATGTACTTCATGCAGCATTTCAAGAGCCTTTTTATCTTTTTTTAGTGTTGCAAGTATGCCTCTGTGACTCCATTGCATGTGCTTGCATCACCCACCATAGTCCCCTTAGGGATAGGAATGATGTAGCTTCAGGATGCCCGTTTAAATATGTACCCATGGAAGAATTCTAATACAAATTTCAAATATTAGCTTTTTTTTAAAAAAAAAAAAACATGTCCTTTATGGGGTGAAACATTATCTGGATGGAAGTAACTAGGGAAGACTGGCTCCTCCATGCTATCTCCAGTTCAAACGATCTCAAGATGGAACCCAATTTGATATCCTGATGCTGAATTAGTATTCAATTATCCAGGCAAAACATTTTTACAGCTTCCCCTTTAGAGTTCTTCGGATTTAATCCCTAAATTCTTTGCTTATTGTAGTTTGTTTGTTTTTTTTACAAACAAATATGATATTTGGAAATCTAATTGCAAAGGTTGATGTCTCAATCTAATCTTGCTTTTAGAGAAGGCCAAAGCAGCAGTTACGTCACACAATTCCAATCTGTTGAGTTACTAGAGAATAAATGTCTGAAATTTCAAGAGAAAACTGTTTCGACCTTCCCTTTTTCTCTAACAGGGAATGCCTGACAAGAGACATCTATTTTTTGGGACTTCATTGGCATGTGGGAAGTCAATGAGAATGGTGTGCAAAAGAAGGACTGTGAAGTTCTTGGGGCTCTCTGAGCTTAGTTGTTTGCTTGCAGATGTTTCATTACCTCATTAGATAATGTCATCAGTGCAGTAACATCATCAAGAAAGGATATTTAAAAGTCTTGGTCATCTCGCCACTAAGTAAGTAGACATAGGACACTTCCTCCCATGAAGATTTCTTTGAAATCTGTCTCTCTTAAGAAAGAATCCTCAAAGCAATTTTTTATCAATTTGAATGTGGACTTGTAGGGCAGAAAAAAAGAACAGACATTTCATTATCCAACTGGATAATGTCATCAATGCAGTAATTTCATTTCTTTGAAATCTTTCTCTCCTAAGAAAAAGAATCCCTAAAGCAAATTTGTTATTAATCTGAATGAGGACAGACGGGAATTAAAACGAGAAGGTTTCTGCCTGGCACACATTTTCACAGCAAGCAAACTGAACAGAAGAACATTAAGTATTAAACAACTAGAATGCAAAGAATATCTGATGGGGTTATGGAAATCTCACTTACATCTTTGAAGCTGCTGTTTTCCTCTGTCCCCCAAACATTCTTAGAAGTAAAGGGCAGCTCTTCCCGGAGAACCTGAGTATTTTGATCTTCATCCTCTTCCATGTGTTTGAGCAGCTCCTTGAAGGATTCGCCCTGCTGCATATAGCTGCCCAGCTGTTTGGCGTTATCTGGCAGCAAAGGGAAGGGCATCTCTTGACGGTCTTCATATATGTAAGGAAAATCTCCAGTACTCTTTTTCCCCATGAAGTGCCCTGCAAGAAGAAAGGATGTGCCATGAAATTAGTGTCAATGCAGACATCTGTGTCCTTTTTTGGTAACAAAGACTGCGCGGATCTGGAGACCATGGCATCCACGTTGGGTTGGCTTGGAATAATTCAGGAGAATTATTGAAGCTCTCATGATGTCTTCTCTATTCTGTTCTTCTGTGCAAAATGTCAAATGTGAAGGACACATCATCTGTCTGGCAATAACCATGCTTTCCTTTAAGTAAGGAAAAACTTTCTAGACCTCACAAATACCTATATGGACACGGGTGATGCTCAGTTACATCTCAGCAGCCAAATCAGAGGCTTGTGTGCTCTACACAGCTCACTCGCACTTTCCATGACAAGCAGAAGAGGAATAACAATTATGAATAGGCAACATTCAATTGATTATGACTGCCGTTTTTTCGAGCTATTTTCAGGGACAATATGTTTGTGATCTTTGCTTTAATATAGGCAAATGATGTTTCTAATCTCAGTTGGATTTGCCAGTGAAATAAATTCCTAGTGGAAAATTTCTGATCCTTATGCAGAAGAGGGAAAAAGGGGTAATTCTGACAATATTTAGAGAATGGGATATCTCTGTCTCTAACTTATAGCTCTTCTTTCTCCCCTGAGTTCTTCTTCCTTACTTTTCTTCTTAGCAACCTAGTGCCCTTTCCTAAAACACTTTTATTACAAACGAGACAATTTAAATTAGCAACTGAAAAGAGGTAAGTATTTTAGTGAAGAATTTGCTCCCCAATCTCCAGGAATTCTGTCCACTAGTGCAGACACCTCTAATTTATTTTACATTTTTTTAAAATTAACTTCATCATTGGAGGCAGCAGAGTGTACCACCACTGCCAGCTTTTTGATGCACATCTTTTACTGTTTTTATTTGGTGGCTTTCTGTCGTGTTCCTTTTTATCCTTTGGATGCCTCCTTGGCTGCCCCATCCTTTTAAAAGCCCCAGGGACAAGCTCTTCCGCAACATTTTCCTTTGGGATTTAAAAGAAAATTGGGACACCAGGGAGACATGGATGTGGAGTTTTACAGACATACCCCAGAAACTGGAAAGACTGGGGATGGAGAAGCTGGAAGGAAATGGAAAGCCATGGCATGAATGCTCTCTAAGGTAAGTGACTGAGTGGGGGGGGGGGGTGGCAGAGATAGCCCACTTTTTGAAGATACACAAAGCTACCTTAGTCTGCCTAGTTTAATGAAAAGTGACATGATAGCAGTCTTCCAATATCTCAGGGGTTTAGCCACAAAGAAGAGAGAATCAACCTATTCTCCAAAGTACCTGAAGGCAGGACAAGAAGCAATGGGGTAGAAACTAATCAAGGTGGAAAGCAACCTAGAACTAAGGAGAAATTTTCTGACAGTTAGAACAATTCATCAGTGGAACAACCTGTCTCCAGAAGTTGTGAGTGTTCCATCACTGGAGGATTTAAAGAAGACATTATACAACGGTACAGGGTTACCTGCCTGAGCAGGAGGTTAGACTAGAACAGGAGTCTCCAACCTTGGCAACTTTAAGCCTGGCGGGCTTCAACTCTCAGAATTCCCCAGCCAGCAAAGCTATATCATCTATCATGTATAGATAATTGTGGGAGACCCCACTTGGCACTTGCTCAAAGGCACTCTGTCCATCTCAAGATGTAGAGGTCTAGTTAGCCAGGATTCTAGGTCTACAGGTTTCCTTAGGCTTCCTCAAACTCAAGGATCTCCAACCTTGGCAACTTTAAGCCTGGAGGAGACCCCACTTGGCACTTGCTCAAAGGCACTCTGTCCATCTCAAGATGTAGAGGTCTAGTTAGCCAGGATTCCCAGGTCTACAGGTTTCCTTAGGCTTCCTCGAACTCAGGGATCTCCAGCCTTGGCAACTTTAAGCCTGGAGGACTTCAACTCCCAGAATTCCTCAGCCAGCTTTTTGCTGGGTGGGTTCCAAAATCAGAGCGAGGAGGAGGATGCCTGACACCTCAGCCTAGCCCAGGAGAATTGCAGTTAGAGCAGGGGTCTCTCCAACCTTGGCAACTTTAAGCCTGGAGGACCTCAACTCCCAGAATTCTTCTTCTGGGAGTTGAAGTCCTCCAGGCTTAAAGTTGCCAAGGTTGGAGATGCCTAGACTAGACCGAATCCTGAGTGGCGCAACAGACTAATGCTACTGTTAAAAGGTAGTATTTAGCTGCCAGCTGTCTGCATTTACTGCGAGTTCAATTCTCACCAGGCTCAAGGTTGGCTCAGCCTTCCATCCTTTCTAAAGTAGGTAAAATGAGGACCCGGTTTGTGGGGGCAATAAGCTGACTTTGTATAAAATATACAGAAGTATGAAGGCTATTGCTTAACGCCTTGTAAGCCGCCCTGAGTCTCCGGAGAAGGGCGGCATATAAATCAAAATAAAATAAAATAAAATAAAATAAAATAAAATAAAATAAAATAAAATAAAATAAAATAAAATAAATAGACGACCTCCGAGGTCTCTTCGAATTTTGTTATTCTGACTGGTACCCTGGCTTATTTTCCCAACCAGGTGCTGATTGTGGAAAAAGCAGGGTCCCAGCTCACTTGCTGGCATCTCTAGGTCTGGCAAGCAATCCTTCCCTGAGCTCAAACCTCCTTAGATGCCCGCGTTGGTTTCCTGCCCTCTGCCCAACGAAGGCTGTAAGGAACTGGCCGAGGAAGCCTCCCGGGGAAGCCCTGGGGGGATCCTCACTCACCCACTGCCCAGTGGCTGCCTCGGGGGTAGATCTTGGCCATCGGGGGCGCTCCGTCGACGCCCTGCAAAGAAGCCGCCCGCCCGCCGCGCCCTTGCAGGAGGAGCGCGAAGGAGACGAGAGCCAGGAGCGGGAAGAAGAGTTGCCCGCGGGGCTTCGGCACGAGCGGCGAGGTCTCCGGGCGGGCCATCGGAGCGGGCTGGCTTGGATGCGTAGAAATGGGTTACCGCGGGGCAGAGTCCGCCCGAGCGCTCGGTCGAGGAGGCGAGACTAAGCAGGGAGGTGACGGGAGGTCCAAGCCTTGCGGAGCCTGAGCGAGGCACTGCTCCGTCTCGCCGGCTGACCCGCTTTTATATGCCGGCCGGGGCGAAGAAGTGTATGCAAAGGTCAGGCACGTGACGCTGTTTCCCCCCCCCCCCACACACACACACCTTTCCTCCGTCGTCGTCCCCCACCCCCACCCCGAGGAGGGCAAGTCGAAGTTCTGGGGGCCGCGTGGCGCGCCTCCCTCTTCCTGACTGGCTGGCCCGGCGAGCAGCAGCCGAAACCCCCCCTCCTCTCTTCTTCTCTCCCCCCCTTCCACACCCACTCCCCCACGCGCGCGCCCTCCACTTCGACATCCCCCCTCCCCCCGCCGACCTTCCCAGTCTGGCTCCGGCGCCTTTCTCTCGAGGGCGCCTTCTGCCGTCAGGCGGAGTCGCCCCCTCGACGGGCAGAGTGAGGGGAAAAGAAAAGAGCTCCCGTCCAGACGGCTCTTCTTGGGAGCTCAGACTGCCAAGCCGCCGTGTTTGCAGCCCTGGGCGGAAGCTATGAGGGCTCCCAAGAAGCACTTTCAGGGGGAGGACGGAGCCCCCAGTTGGGTGGGTTCCAAAATCAGGGCGAGGAGGAGGATGCCTGAAGCCTCAGTCTAGCCCAGGAGAATTGCAGTTAGAGGACGGGTCTCTCCAACCGTGACAACTTTAAGCCTGACGGACTTCAACTCCCAGAATTCCCCAGCAGCAAAGCTGCCTGGGGAATTCTGGGAGTTGAAGTCCGCCAGGCTTAAAATTGCCAAGGTTGGAGAGACCCCTGAGTTAGAGGAAGACTAAGGAAACTAAGACTAAGGAAGACTTGGAATCCTGGCTAACTAGACCTCTACATCTTGAGATGGACAGAGTGCCTTTGAGCAAGTGCCAAGTGGGGTCTCCCACAATTATCTATACATGATAGATAGATAGATAGATAGATAGATAGATAGATAGATAGATAGATAGATAGATATAGCTTTGCTGTCTGGAGAATTCTGGGAGTTGAAGCCCACCAGGCTCAAAGTTGCCAAGGTTGGAGACCCCTGTTCTAGTCTAACCTCCTCCTGCTTGAGATGGACAGAGTGCCTTTGAGCAAGTGCCAAGTGGGGGTATTCCACAATTATCTATACATGAACCGTAATAATGTACTATTATTATTATTAGTTAATCTTTAGTGAGATTCACAGCCTTTGAGGCTGGTTAATAGCTCAGCAGCTCAAGTCCTAACCAAGGACCTAGGAACTGTTAAGGTATCGTGGGAGGATGTAAGCTGTTCCGAGTAAGGTGGTTTTTTGTAGAGTCAAAATGTTCAAGTCCGGCAAATTTAGAATTTCTATATAGCGGGGTAGCCCTTTGGATATTGCTCCAAGGTCTCCAATTACAATCTGGACAACACACGATTTCTGTTTCCACAGTCGCTCAACTCCAATTTGCAAGTCCCGGTACTTTGTGATTTTTTCTTGCTGCTTATCTTCAATCCGTGCATCACCAGGTATTGCAATGTAAATGAACCATACTTTTTTCTTTTCAACTATTGTTATGTCCGGTGTGTTGTGGACCAAGTGCCTGTCAGTCTGAATCCTAAAGTCCCACAAGATCTTGAGTTTCTCATTCTCTAAAACTTTCTCAACCTGATGTTCCCAGTGGTTTTTGCTGTACTCAAATGCAAACTTCTGGCACAATTTCCAGTGAATGATCTTAGCAACACGGTCATGGCGTTGTAGGTAGTCAGTTTGTGAAATTTTGCTGCACCCACTGATCAGGTGGTCGACTGTCTCATCTTTCTCATTGCAGAGGCGGCATTTGCTGTTGGTGGGTAACATGTTGAATTTTTGTCTTCATGCAGTTTGTGGCTAGGGCTTGTTCTTGAGCTGCCAAAATAAAGTTCTGTTTCTTTTTTCAGTACTCCTGATCTTAACCAGTTCCAAGTTAGTTTCTGGTCAGCTTTGCCTTCAATACTTTTCAAGTACTATTATTATTATTATTATTATTATTATTATTATTATTATTATTGCATTTAAATTTAGGTATTATTTAAATTAAAGATGTAGATACTCCGTGAAGAGTGCAGAGAAGCTCGACAAAAATAATTTGGGAATTGGAGGCTAAAACATATGAAGAACAGTTGCAGGAATTGGGAATGTCTAGTGAAAAGAAGGACTAGGGAAGACATGATAGAGTGTTCCAATATTTTCACGAAGAAAAGAGGGTCAATCTATTCTTCAAAGCACCTGAACTAGGCAGGACAAGAAGCAATGGACTGAAACTAATGAAGGAGAAAAGCAACCTAGAATTAAGGAGAGATTTCCTCACAGTGAAAACAATAATCGGTAGAACAACTTGCCTTCAGAAGTTGTGGGTAGTCCAACACTGGAGGTTTTTAAAGAGAAATTGGACAACCACTTGTCTGAAATGGTATAGGATTTTCTGCTTGAACGGGGTTGGACTAGAAGACCTCCAAGGTCCCTTCCAACTCTGTTATTCATTATACCCACCTTCTCCCATAGATTCTGGCATGCTCATCATTCAATACCAGTTCATAACGGTTAAAACCATACAACACATTGAGAGCTGCAGACACAGCCTGTCCTTCTTTCCATCCACAGACATTTCAGATTGGCAGCAAACATTAAACGGTGTCCCCAGGTGGCAGAACTAGCAAGGGGGAAGAAGTTCCAGACATGTCCTATCAGGCGGGATTCACAATGTTGTGCTGCTGAAACCCCACAATCTTGACTCACCTCAAGACAATTTCATTCATTCATTCATTCCTGGAAGACGCATGTCCCCAGCCCACTTGTCTGTTCTGCAGTAGTGTCTCTCCTCGTGGTTATTCTCACCCTGAACGTTTCCCCCTGATGTTTGCCAAGGATGTGCCCTATTGAATCGCCACCTTTCAAAATAATTTATTTGAACCAGGCACCAATTTGGACTGCAATCTGCATTTCACGATAGCATCTTCCTTGCCCGTTCCCTTCCTCCAGCAAGGGGTCCAGTTAGAAACCCCTGATACTTTCTGATTAGAAATACAGACGGTGTATACCCCCACCCCACCTCGCCACCACCTGTCCTTCATTCATATCCCCTGTTTTCATTCAACAAGCTTGTTCTGCAAAGCAGGGATCTCTGGAAGTGAAACGTGGCTGACTGTTTCTAAAGGAAAGTCCCTTCTCTCCCCCACCCCCTCTCTGCATTTCAGAAGCCTCTCCCTCCAATGAATGAAGTGGGGAATCTTTGTTTTCCCCCTGTGGTTGGTGAGACTCGATAAGACCTGGGACAGCCGTCCTCTTATCAAAGCAGGGGAAGGGGCTTTTTATTTGTGGAGTTGCTGGCACCGATAACTAGATATTCTTGCCTCTGATTGATGGAGCCCTCTGACTCCCTTATTGTTGCAGGCAACTTTAGATTTGCCTGCAGCCCTGGTGAGATAGTGGGGAACACTCCGGCAATCACCCATCCAACCGTCTGTTGATACCCAACACTATCCAGTTTTCTAAATGCATCTTTTATTTTTATGGTCCCCTTCCTTTTCTCCCCCCCCCCCACCGAACACATGCCTCTTTCTGCACACAAACCCACCACACTTTGCTCTCAAAAAGAATGGAGGGGAGAGCCTGACTATCTTTGCTGCACACATTGTTTTCCCTTCTTAAATCTGCACTGCCAGCTTCTGATCTGAACGTGGCTGCGCTCCAAAGTTCTGCAAAGTGAATACCCAGCACATCTGTTCCAGTCTAGGGTTGATGGGTTGCGCATGCAACTTTGAAAGTGCCCCTAGGTACATAAAACAACTTATTTAACCGAGTTGGAAGGGACCTTGGGAGGTCTTCTTGTCCAACCCCTTGCTCAAGCAGGAAATCTTATAACATTTCAGACAAATGGTTGTCCAATCTCTTCTTAAAAACCTCCGTGTGAAGTTTCCGAAAGATGCCCTAATTAATTCATGAGCCATGAGCCGAACTTCAAAAGAAATACAGTCATTTATTAGGAGCACCATTTCGGCAATATTCGGATGCAGTTAGAACTAATCCCACGTAGATTTACGTTCCCCTATGTCTCTCCCCTCCTCTCCGGCCATGTCATAAATCACATTCTCCAATTAACCACTTTGGCTGGCTGTGAAATCCAACACCCTCCTTCTGATTGCGGTCAGGAAGAATGTATGGAATGCACTTCAGTTAGGGAAATCAATCAGCTCTATCATTTCTCCCTCCCTCCTGCTCATGGCAACTTGAAAGCTTTGCAAGTTGACACTCCCTTTATCCCAACAGTGCCTGTGATTTTCTCACTACTAGATCTGGGAAGTATATTGTGCCTATTTCTGGTTGTAGTGGGCATTACCTATTTTCCTTCCAAATTCTAGAAGCCGTGAGGATTTTCATTCCCCCCCCCATTATTGTTCAGTACATATCTCCATAGATGCAACTTCAGCTTGATTAAAGGTAAAGATAAAGGTTCCCCGTGCATGTATGTGCTAGTCGTTCCCGACTTTAGGGGGTGGTGCTCATCTCTGTTTCAAAGCCGAAGAGCCAGCGCTGTCCAAAGACGTCTCTGTGGTCATGTGGCCGGCATGACTAAATGCCAAAGGTGCACGGAATGTTACCTTCTCCCCAAAGGTGGTCCCTATTTTTCTACTTGCATTTTTTACATACTTTCTAACTGCTAGGTTGGCAGAAACTGGGACAAATAACGGGAGCTCACCCCGTTACGCGGCACTAGGAATTTGAACCGTTGAGCTGCAGACCTTTTGATTGACAAGTTCAGCATCTTAGCCACTGAGCCACTGTCTCCCTTCCCTAGCTTGATTAACCCTATCCAATTATGGGTAACATATAGAATAATATCTCGATGCCATGTTAGGATATCAGTTTTACAGTTTGCAGATAGATAATGAATTTCTTCTTCCATTTCTACCTCTATCTTTTACTCACCCCCAAATTTGCTTCAGAACATTGGGGTTCCTCAGAATCAAATCTGGGATATAAAGACAAAGTGAATATGATGTGGGATGTAAGACATTATCTCCATGGATTAAACATTTTGGAAATTGAAGTACTCTTTAAATACAAAAG